ATTGCCGGCCACCAGCTACTTCATCTCACAATGTCATAAAGGATCAATTAACTATCAATGAATTTAACAGTCTCGCTTGATTCATGGAAGATGGGTCAGATATCAATTAATTCTGCAGTCTCTCTTAATTCATGGAAGAATAATCAATTATCAGTGACTTCCACAGTCTTGCTTGATTTATACAAAATCCATTAATTATCAAGGCATTCAACAGTCTCTCTTAATCCATAGAATAGCAATTAATCATTAATGAATCCACAGGCTCCCTTGATTCACAGGAGATCAGTTAATCCTCCCCAGACCTGTCAGTCTCTGTACCTTATACAAATTCAATTAATTGTCCCTTTGCCTCTAATTGTGTGAGGTTCCACAATTGTATGATCACCAGCACTTTATCAACAGCATGGGATCTCATGCTTAGCTCATTATCTCCATGGAAACCTCACTTTCCTTTCTGCTGGTGGGTTTCTCTTCACTCGCCCAGTATCACTCATTAGTCCTATCCTGAGCCTTCCTGGATGACCAGATAAAACCACTGGGTCCCTATGCCACTCCTGGGAAATCCCAGCTCTGTATGTCCACACAGTGTGCACAGCGTTCTCAGCTCACTGTGCCATCCCCTCTCTCGGGGTGACTGTGTATGCCAACTTCTTTCTAGTCCACCAGGACTCTTTGTGAATCAGTAAGGGCTTGCTCCTTCTGCATGTGGCTGGGTGTGGCTGGGATTTGGCTCTTTTGCCCCAGACTGCACATAGATCTCTCCCCTGGCTGCTCTGGCAGCTGTTCAACCCCACTAGATTCTTCAGAGTATGTTTATTCCCTGCCCCTGCCCTGACAGCGTCTCTCAGCCAGAACAGGGACTGGAGCCAGTTCCCTGTTATATTTACATTGAAAAATAATGTCAGGCAAACATTTAATAGAATATAAATGTCATCTAGCATGTAAAAAGGATGAAGGGATATATCACCAACCAACTGTCTGTGCACCACAGTCTGAAAACCTCTGCAAGTTAGTTATTTTACATGCAAAGGGTCTATTAGAGAAGCGGGTAAACCTTCCTGCCTCAGGTCATTTAACAGAAGAGAACAGCGATGGTTTTCCTCAACCCCATTCTTTCTGATTATATGAAGTTGCCTTTTTTATCTTCTTAATTCCATTTTTTGTCCCTTTCATTCAAACTCCTTTACCTGGCTGCCTACTCTTTTCATTGCCTCGGCACACACCAGCTTCTGTCAGTTCATTTACACAGCCCTGTATGTCAGGACCAGGCCACTCTGCCTCTCATCACTGCACTTTGTGTCCCTTCTCAAAATGCAGTTTTTCAATTGCTAACCTACCATTTTGCTGGATGTATATACACATTTTATAATTACAAAAGAAATATGAAGTCCAACCCTGATCCTTCTTTTGGTTGTGCTGGTACAAAACAATTGTAACTATTTCAGTCAAATGAATTACATTACCATAAAGCAAGTATGATCAGTGTCACTGACTCTGAAAAGCCTAACTTTGCCAGATAAACCTCAAAAACTGAATGGCTTTGCTTCAGTAATTTTGTGACAATGAAAAATGATTTCAACCCACAAACCTTTTCAGTATCATTGTATCAAAATAGGTTATTTGACAATTTGGAACCTATTAAAAAAATGCTTTTGAAACAGGAAATTTGTCAACCCCTTCTGTCAAATATCTTTTCTGATGGTAAGTCTACAGAGTGGAATCCCAGAGAAACTGGGGAACGCTTTTGAAAATAACACATTCCCTCATCTGACCCTTCCCCTAGCAATTGCCACCATACCCTAGGGTAACTGAAAATGAGATTTGTTTTTTGCTGTTTTCTAGGTGAGCCTTTGTACTCCCAGTGAGAATACACCCACAGAGAGTTTAGCTAGGCTGGTTAGTATGGTCTTCCAGTGGTTTCATTCCACTGCTTATATGATGGATGATGAAGTTGGTAGCCTGGTGGAGAAACTCAAACCCCAGTTTGTTACCAAATGGCTGAAGACGGTTTGTGATGTTCGATTTGATGTCATGGTCATGTGCCTGCTTCCTAAACCAATGGAGTTTGCCAGGGTAAGAATGCATGCTGTAATTTGTCTGAGGATTCCTAGAAAAGCCCTAAAACTTATATCTTACTATGTTAATTTAGACATTTTAAGGTCCAAACTCGATTCTCAGATTGAAGAAGACAGACTTCTGTCTGCCATTGAGTGAATAGAATTTGGCCTATGGTTGCCCTTCTTTTAAATCCTTTTAGTTGTATTGTACCAGGAGAACATGAGAGGATTTATAAGGGCAATGCACAACCAGAATCAACATTAGCACTGATAAACAAAGAGAAATTGTTGACTGGTTGAATCCACTAGTAGCTAAAGCAAAAGTACCAGATATTCCCATAGCCATTAGTGAAGTAAGCTGTGATTAGTTAGAATCATTAGTCTCTGTATGTATTTGCTTAGAAATGTATATTGACTCTCATAACACAGACCCTTCCCTTAATAAAAGAGGGATTAAAAAAAATTAAAAGGACAGGTTATTCAACATAAAAGGCCAAGTGTTAGATCCCTGTCACAAAAGACTATCCCCAGTGATCAAACAGATCAGTCTTGTGATGAGCAAAGTACATGATCTTATGAAAAAAATGCAGTCCCCAGGGATGACTTTGGGAGTTGTACTGAACTTTTTTATTGATCATTTATCATGATTTCATGGCTTCAAAGTGCCATACAAACAACAAGTAAAAATGATGAAAGTCGGTAACAGACATTACTCATGGAAATACCCTCAGGTTGGCGGATACTGGGACAAATCCTGTAGTGCTGTGACGCAACTGAAGGAAGGTCTGAATCGAATCCTCTGCTTGATTCCATACAATGTAATAAACCAGCCGGTGTGGGAATGTATCATGCCAGAGTGGTTGGAAGCCATTAGGACAGAAGTGCCCGATAATCAACTGAAAGAGTTCAGGGAAGTACTAAGGTATGTAGCAATGTACAGGAGCTATTAGGATGGCAAGTGTGTTAACTGACAAGGGGCTTGGCACTGGGAAATCAATTCACAAGGAATAAAAATGCCAGTCAGAACTGCTGTGTTCATATGCAGTGTAAGAAACAGTGAACAAATGCAACTCCAGTGTTGCTAGGGTTAGGCGTCACTCCAAAGACTTCCAGATTTTGGGACAGTTTCATTGTATGGTTCTTTTTATTTTTGGATCTGTATCCAAATCCACAAATAAGGCTGAATTGGCCTTTGATCTGAGTGGTCTGTGAGTCCAGCAGGCCCCGGTACCGCTCCTGGGAACTGCCTGAGTGCTGAGTGTTTCCAACTGGCAGGTTACAGCTCTTAAAGTTATGGTTCCCCACAGCTGAGGTCCATTTCTAGTATAGATAGGAAATCACTAATGACTGAGGAGAAGTGAGGTAAGGAATATTTATATACAGTGGGGATAAAATTATTGATAACAAATACAAATATTATTGATATCTTATCTTCCCAAGCTTTCTGCTTAGACTGACTGGAGACTCTTTGGAATTTAATTCAGATTTTTATGATGTATGGCAGACCCAGCAATCTCAGGAATGACCCCCAACATTCAGAAAGAGTTGTACCAGCAACCCGGTTGCAAGTGACACATTGCCTGTATGATGCAAAATAAGGGTGCAAATATCTCATTAGTAAGATGTTAGTAATACTCAATTTTGATTGATATGTTATTAATTGTTCATGTATCATATGCTATGTGCTGCACATAATGGCAAGCCATTCATCATATGTTTCTGTTCTTCTGTTCTGCAGCAAAATGTTTGATATTGAACTTTGTCCTCTTCCTTTTTCCATGGAGGAGATGTTTGGTTTCATTAGTTGTCGATTCACAGGATATCCATCTTCTGTGCAAGAGCAGGCTTTGCTCTGGCTGCATGTAAGTGTCCTTCATCAGTGGGTTGTGCTAAACCAACTTGTGGTTTAGGCAAGGAAGAGCTATTTGAACCTTTTTAAAATCAACCTTTTTTAAAGTATCAAGGTGTCTTTTTTCCCTTTGCTTACCTCTACTATAAACAGGTAGGTAGCTCAGGACAAAAAGGGAAGTTATGTATTACTCTCTCATCTCTCTCATCTTCAGCTAAATGTCTAGACTTTTGTGGATGGGTAGACATTTGTGGAAGGCTTTTCCTCTGACTGTAGGTTGTGGACTAGCCAGATGCCTCATTTCTTCCCCAGCGCTAACCTGCCACAGAATGTGCTTCTAAGACTGCAAAGGGACTTTTAGCATTCCCATTTTGTGAAAAGCTGGACTGGATTTGGAGTCCTTCAGACTCACTTTCTGCTGTGGCCTTAATCCCTGTCTGTTCAGACCCACAAACCTGGCCACCTGTTGCCAGGGTGTATATTACATCCAGAAAACTTTCTCTGCGTATTGAGCAGATACAGGACAGATTATGCCTCCAAATTTAATCTGGGAGTGAAGCAGCTTCACTCAAGATCGCATGCAATTTATCATAGCACATCTGAAACAACACCTGCAATCATCACTTCTTCTCTGAGGAGAGTTATTTGTGGTGAATGTAAGGTGAACTATTTCCTGGGGAACTTTAGCAGGTTTTTTTGGTTTGCAAATTTTCTATCAACAAACTGTGATTTTTGCAAGTTCGCTTGGTGTGAACAACTGTCGGATGAAATCATTTTGAGTAAGTCCATTTTTGTCTCTGACTTGTTCATGAAGTGGTCACCATGAAAATTCCCTCTTGTGATGTGCTGCATGAGATTGGTCACTTACAAACAGGTAGAACCCTTGGGTTGTTCGTGAATTATCCAACTCTGTTGGAAATTGAAGATCTATTGCAGAATAGATAAATAACCTTTCACTGAAAATAACCTTTCATGGTAGGTCAACCCTGCAGGCTAGTCTAGAGATACTTGAGCTAGCTGAGTAACTTAGGTACTAGCAGCAGTGCAGCTGTAGCAACATGGAGCTCAACCCTGCTCCTTCTCCTCCAGGAATCTGGCTTGGTGCTCAAGTGGTATCCTGTACTAAGGCCTGTGCTTCCCTGGTTAGATAGCTACTTGTATCTAATATACAAGAATTACTGTACTCATGTAGCTACTCATTTAAAGCAAGCTCTGCTACAGTCAGCAGTATGGACAAATGGCTATGGGAACCAACTTGACTGGAGCCTTTGGAACAGCATTGGCCTACAAATAATAATGCCAACAACAACTAGTGAATATTTATTCATCCTAGTATTTGTGACAGTTTGCTTCACATGACTTTCCTGTGAAGAAAACCTTCCACACATAAATGTTTATGGGTAAAAGAGGACCTGAGATGCAATCAGAGAGATGTCCGGTCTTATTCACAGGAATACTGGAAAGTGCTCTTTGTTGCACTTCGCCAGGTCTTTTGGTTCTCTGAGTCAACAAGAAACAAGGCCATCCTAACTTTAAGCACATGGCTAGTACCAGTGTTTTTGTTCAAGCTACCTAGATGCATGAAATTAGGAATGTGCTTTTGTACCTTGATAAAGCTGACCTATGTGATGAATGTATTTCTAAAGATAGCAATTTTTATCAGCTCTGAAAACTCATGCTTTTTTTTGTGTCTTTCATCAGGTGTTGTCTGAATTAGATATTGTGGTTCCTCTCCAGCTGCTAATCAGTATGTTTTCCGACGGAGTTAATTCAGTCAAAGAATTAGCAAATCAAAGAAAATCAAGAGTCAGTGAACTGGCAGGAAATCTTGCCGCTCGAAGGGTAATTAGCATTTATTTTCGCCTTAGAACAGTGTTTCTTGTGTATTACGGATGAAAATTGAAAAACTCTTTATTAGTTATGTCAGCAACTGTTGATTGGAGACAAAGTACATATTTTGAGTGATAAAAATGAGACAACTTCTTGATTTAATGACAGCCTATCACTTGATCAACTTTAATTCGTAAATTAAGAATTGGTAAATATGATGCAGGCAGTGGCTGGTTGTGCAGTCTTTCTGAATGAATGGTTTTACTTGGTACAGTAACCTGTGTAATAGTTAAGCATTAGTATTTACTGTGTCTTGTTATCTTTTCCAAATTTTTATTCTCTGTATCTGCTGTTCACTGCCATCAACCAGCATTTTTTTATGATCACCTGGTCGGCTAGGGTGAGCTTTCTCATTCTTGTTTCATGCAGCCCTTCCTGATGGTACTGATAGAACAGAATTAATTTCCCTGACCTTCATTCTGCTTTTTCATTTTTTGGTTTCACTTAACCCTCCCCTTCCTTGGCTGCCATTTACCTCTGATAGAGGAGGCAGTAGCTTCTTTCAAACTCCTGAAATAGCCAGAATAACTTATTGTTAACAGCCAACTCTTGTCGTGGGGGCAAACTGTGTTAGAGACTTTCTGAGGAAGAATTCCTTGTGACGGAAGCGTATTCAATCTTTGGAGATAAATTCATCTACTCTCCATTTCTCTCCTCTGGTCTTTAAAGCATGATACTGGTAATGCAGAGGAAATTATCAGATGACCATAGAACTTGACTAGGCTGTTTGTTATGTGCTGAAGCAGTTTAAAACCTGACCTTTTTGTAACCTATTTAATCAGACATTTGATTGAATACTTCTTTAACAGCTCTTCTATTTGAAAAGTTTTCATCTGTCTTGTTTTGGTTTCCACAATGAATTCATTTTTCTTAGATAGAGAAACTGTGAACAGTAAGGAAATATATTTATTGATACAAGTGCATGAATTCTGAAAATCTGTCCTCACTTGACTTTTGAAACACTATGTTATTTTCTATACAACAGAAACACAAGTATGTGTCATCCGGGATCTTCATTTTCTCTGTTTAAACATTGCAACTTCTCTGATTAAAACCCCCCAAATCTGTGATTAAAATATAACACCACTAATATATAGGTATCAATTGAACACAATGTTTTTATTTATATATTTACAATTTTAAAGCAATTTGGAAGCCTACCAGTGCCTCAATCACTATAATAAAATACATTCTAAATATCTTTAAATTTTGATGTTTGATTTTGGGTTTTTTATCATGAAAAACCTGAGCTCCCCCTGCCCCCTTTGCTCACCAGAATGCAGGTCTAGGCCCCTCACTCCTCACTTACAGCCCCCCTGGCCCTGCTGCTGCCCCTAACTCCCTACCCATAGCTCTCTCAACCCTGCTGGTGCCCCTCACCCGCAGCCTCCTGCTTTGCCTGAGGGAGCCCCCAGCTGCCAGGGCTATGAGGTCAGGGACCTGGTTCCACAACCCCCTGCCCCCTGCAGCAGTGCCCGAATCCCAGCAGTGCCCGAACCCTGCTGCTGCAGTGGAGTGGAGCGTGGATCCAGGCTCTCCCTCCCCCATGGGTGGTACAGTTGAAGCGGAGCCCATGGGGGAGGTCGGGTGCAGGTTGCCCGCTGTGGACTCAGGGTCCCTGCCCTGCTGCCCTCCCTCCAGGGCCTCCGCAGACCAGCAGGTGGGACCCAGCACAGCAGGGCAGAGGGGTGCCAGGCGGGGCAGCTCTTTGCTGCTGTGAAGCCTGTGCCACCCTGGCGAGGTGCTCTCTGTCTGCCTGAGAGCAGTGAAAGGCACAACTGCGCCATCACCCCCGCTGCTGCCAGGTGGGCAAGGGGCACCTCACCAGGGTGGTGCAGGGCTCACAGCAGCAACACTGGGTCCCACCTGCTGGGCTCTGGAGACCTTGGGGGAGAGCAGCAGGACAGGGACCCCGAGCCCACAGCGGGCAGCCTACACCCTCCACTGGCCTCACCTCACCTCCACCCCGCATACAGATCAGAAGGGCACGTGTCCTCCCGTCCCCCTTGGGAGTGCATGCAGCGGTGGGGTGCCAGCCCCCTTTGTTCCCCTGATGAGCCACCTGTGGCCCTGTTCTGCTCCCTGCCAGGGCCCTGTAGCTGCGTATTCCAGCCCCAAGCCCCACATACCACTTGGCTGGGCAAGAGACCCAGCCCAGCCCTGCCCAACTCCCCCCTGCCCTCACTATGGGGGCCTCAATCCCCACGTCTCCCCCACCAGATTTACCTGTGGGAGCTGCTCTCCAGGCTGCCTGGTGGCCATGTGCATGCATGAGCATGCACCTCTGCCTGATCCCCCTCCATGCACTGCCCCCCCAGCCCCTTGCAGGCTGGAACTCTGACAGCCTGCAGGGAGCTCTTTACAAAAGTGCAAAATCCATGTGCTTTTTCATTAAAATGAGAAAGCCATGTTTTTCTCAGTTAAAAGGGAAAAACCACAGTTTTCCCCCCCATTTTTCATTGTTTCCCAGTCCCTGTTCATTGTTAAAGAGCATCAGAAGCATATCCTTTTGCTTTGTTTAACTGTGTAAAATGCTTAAAATTAAAATCAGAGTTTGATTACTGTGGTATTAAAGCAAGTGTGAGTCTGCAGGCACAGTGAGAACTCAGGGAAAAAACTAGTGTGGTTAGGTTACTTCACAGTGCTGTACCACACGTTAGAGGAACGCTTCTTAATGATATAACACATGGAATTTCTGACAGACATGCAGCTTAAAAATACAAGGTCAGATGCTTTGCTCCACTACTGCCTAAGAGGGACTAAAAAAGTGAGAAACTGAAGTTTCTCTGGGTAAGCTAATCCTCATATGAGTTAATTAACACTGGCATTGCAGAAAGTAGATCTGCCAAGTAACACAGCTAGTATAGGATCATTCCTGAATCTCATGCAGAGGAAACACACACTTTTACTACCTGGTATATCAGATAGTAGGTTGCCTAGGAACAAATTGTGTGGTGTGGTACTGAACTTCCCTTCGACACTGGAGGGTTTCTATGTGTATTGCTGAGAGTGGTGAAAGAATACCTATTGTAGGCTGCATATGCACATTCAGATGATTTGGAAGAATTCTCCTGGGTCTGTTTTCCTGCTAGAAAACCTACTTGGAGACCCTGCAACAGAAATGTGAATAATGAGCCCCTGAAGAGGAGAGAGTTTTCCTTGCTGACACTGTACAGCCAGGGGGCTCCTGTGCACACATCTCAGCATGCTCTGCAGCTTCCCTCACTCTGTCTGGGGACAGATGGCAGCAGTGCACAGGGCAGCCCTGATTGGCTGACCAAGACTGCTCAAGATCAGCCTGTGTCAGGGAGCTGAAGCATAATGTGGGTATTGTGAAGGGTGTGCATTCTCCTCCCTGTGAGGCTGTAACAGTAGAGTACAGCCTAAGGAAAATATTGTGTCCTGGGGTGGGTGAGGGAAAGGATGGGAGCAAAGCACCCTGGGATGCTGGAGGTCTGTGCTGTAGCTTCTCTCAGAAAGGGACTTTTGCTTTCCCAGGAGAAACTCTCCTGGGATAGATTTAACCTTGGTTGTTCCTGGGTTATTTTCCTTTTGAAACCACCATTTTTGATCTGAGAGAAAAATCTTGAACATCTGTACATTTATGTTTTCTACTGGGAGAGCAGTGATTCTTCCAGTAGAAGCTGAATGGCTTATGGCCCTACTGTGGGTGGGTATAAATTATTTGTGTATGCATTGCTTTATTTTACATCCTCCTTCTAGTTGTTCTTCAGCTACCTCTACCATCTGGGGATAGTCTTGGTGATTACTGTTCTGTTGATACGCCTTCTTGTAATCAACCACTGAGGCTGTGTGTAGATGAAATGAGAGGCGTGTGCACACAACACTTCAAAGTGAGCTAAATGCTTTTGCACCACTTTAATGGTGTTTGCATGCCTTGGCAGCACATTGCACATTTATTCCAGCCGTTGTAGGAAATTCGGTGGCGTAATGCACCTTAAATGGCTTGGGGTGCAGCAAACCAAAACTCCTCCAAGGAGCTTTAGTTTGCTACCCCTACAGCTGTGGATTGAAGCATCGGGCTCTGTGTAGCTCCACGGCTCTGCAGGAAGCCCTGCAGGCAGCCTGGCAGCAGCCTGGGAAAACAGGCTCCGCTGAAGAAAAATGGTGAGCCTGATCCTTTTTTTTTTTCCCCCCTGGAGCCTGCTTGCCTGAGCTGCATGGGGGCCCAGTGCTTCCTTCTGTGGCTTTGGACTGCCTGAGCTGGGTGCCTGTGGGTGGGTGCCGCCTTGAGGGGGCTGTCACTGCTGCAGAGGGAAGCACCAGCCCCTCCCCCACTGCAGCCCAGGGACTGCTCTGCCTGTTGGCAGCTCGCCCTCTCCTCTCTGCCAGAGAGGCAGGTAAGTCAGTGGGGTGTGTGCATGACACTGGAGTTGAATCAGCCCTAAATTAAAGTGGTATTTTTTAAAACCCACCGCTTCAATTTAGGGCCCCCGTTTCATTTACACACACCCTGGCACTCCTGTGAGAGTGTTTTGTCCTACTATATAATGTCACATCAGTGTAGCTTAGGCTGCTTTACCATCTGTACCCATTTTGTGGATAAAGTTATACTAAGATCCTCCCAGGTATAACTAAGTCCATGGAGTTATACCAGGCACAAATTTGATGTGAGCTTTCTAACATATGCCAGTACATACAAGAATGCATAATATGACCCACTGCATGTTACAGAAACAGCTATGATAGGAAAAAGTAAAGCTGTAGGGTCTGAGTTTTCTCCCATTTACACCAGCCCAGTACTCAGGAGTTTCAGACTGATCTGTGTGTCTGTCCTCTGTTTCTTCAGGTGAGTGTTGCCTCTGACCCTGGGCGCAGGGTTCAGCATAGCATGTTGAGTCCTTTCCCAAGTCCTTTCCAGAGCCCATTTCGCAGCCCTGTTCGCAGCCCTTTTCGAAGTCCATTCAAGAATTTTGGACACCCTGGAGGAAAGACCATTGACTTTGAATGTGATGATGATGAAATGAATCTGAATTGCTTCATACTGATGTTTGATCTCATCCTGAAGCAGGTACCAACAGAGAGAAAATGTTCTTGGTAAACTGATGCAAAAATGAAATTTATGGCTGCCTATACATGTGCTTGGAGGTGGGTGTTGGGTGTGGGGGAGGCGCATTTTAATTAGAGTGATTCCCAGGCAGCCGCTCTAATTAAAACCCCTCACTTTCATATGTATTAAACTCCTGCACATTTCAAAATGGCCACGGGACACTTTAAACCTCATTCAATGAGGTTTAGTTAAAGTACCCATGGTCATTTTAAAACATGCGGGGGCTTAATACACTTGATGCTGCAGTGATGCTGCAGCATTCTAATTAGAACATGGAGCAGATTTGATTAATTAATTAGATGCTTAAAACACACATATGCTAATATTTAGGAATAACTGGAAAGAACCCACTTATTGCCATGTTTGGATAAACCCAAAAATCAAAAGTCAATTAATGTGCCTGTGAAGTCTGTTTAGGGCTGTCTACATGTGGGGTTGCACCAGTTAAAATAAAAATGTAATTTTAAATTGGATTAGATAAAGTGGTATAAAAGATGGTATGAACATTGTTTCAGGTAAAAACCAAGGTGCATTTGTCAGTATTTTAGGGGTGTTGGTTGTATCTATGATGGTTTCAGGAAGCAGACAGACAAGATTCTTTGGGTAAATCTGATATCTTTTATTAGACCAACTAAAATAGTTAGAAAAATTCTTCTTTGCAAGAATTCGGGTACTTACACTCTTCTTCAGGCAGAGGGAGCATCTGCAGTTGTTTTGTGCTCTTTCTGGATGAGATAAAATCCAGTATGCAAGAATGCAGGTCAGTGAAAATGCAAATATGTGGCGTTGAGAAACAATGGGTGGTAGACAGGTGGGGGGGAAGGAAATGGTGACCTGGATATAGAATGTAGCTGGTAAATTTTAGAGATGTTATCTGGGGTATCAGATGATAGGCAGGTTATAATGTGCCATAAAATCCAATGTCTATATTTCATCTATAATTTTTTGTATCCAGTAGATGGATGAAGTGAAGTTCATAGTCTCATCTACAAAAGGTGTTTTGTAAATTCTCTTTGAAGATTAGAATTGAGTGGTTGGAGAGAGTGGTTATCTTGTGAGAATTGGCCCCCCGCAGGTAATTGCAACCGATACTAGAAGAAGACCCAATTCTTAAAGAGATCTTTCCAGAACCACCCACCCTAGCCTTTAAACAAGCACTGAACCTCGCCAACCTCATCACCAGAAGCAAACTTCCTATGGCCCAAAAAACATGGAATGGATCCAGATCATGCCAGAACAAGAAATGTAAAACCTGCCAAAATATCTCTGCCACTTCCATAATAAATACACCCCACATAGAATCATCACCATTCTTGGATCTCACACCTGCATCTCCAGAAATGTAATAGCTCATCCAGTGCACTAAATGTCTTGATGGAAAATATACAGAAGAAACCAAACAACTGCATACCAGAATGAATGCACACTGAAAATCTATCAAAGACAGAAATACCCAATTACCTGTGGGTGCACATTTCTCACTCTCTCTCCAATAGCTCAGGTTTAATCCTCAAAGAGAATTTATAAAACACCTTTCGCAGATGAGTCTATGAATTTCACTTTAGCAACCTACTGGATACAAAAAAATAATGGACTAAATATAGACATTGGATTGATGACACATTATAACCTGCCTGCCATCTGATACCCCAGGTAACCTCTCTACAACTTACCAGCTATGTTCAATCTCCAGGTCACCATTTCCTTCCCCTTCCTTTCCCCACCCATTGTCTCTCACCCCCTCTGACCCTCACTGCCAAACATTTGCTTTGTCAGTGTTGGCATTTTCCACACAAGAATGCTTCACAGGGTTTACTTAAGGTATAATATTAAGACATCTTAGTTAAGCTAGTGAATGGTAAGTGGTAAATCCCCAAGAAGACAATGCAATTTGTAGGGTTCACACGAGTTAGCAGATAGAGTGAAAGACTAAGCAGGAGCATAGCTGCTAACTCCTGCTAAAACTGCAAATTGCCTAGACTTCAGAACTTTTCTGATCAGTAAAATTTTGCTTCATATTAATTACCATACAGTAGCCCACTGAACTGAAAAGCACCCCTTTTCTTTTTTTCCCCAGTGCTAGGGAATTCAGCAGTATTTAATCAGGCTTTTAGAAGGTGTGAAATTCTGAGCTTTGATCTTTTAATACAGAAATTGCCAAGTAAAGACTAGAGGAAGCTATAAAGATAAAATCCAGGAACTGACTTGCTTAGTGTATTTTGTTTGGGGTTATATTTTCTTTCATTTAAGTCTTTTTTTTTTTACTGCCCTTCTTTCAGCTCCTCAATCAGGCTGATAGGCTGAAAATGGCACGTCCCAGTTTAAGAGGATGCTGTTCTCCCACATACAGATATTGACCCATATTATCCAAAGTAGCCTCTACTCAGTGCCTCTGTTTTTGAGTGCCCACAATGAGGCCTCTATTTTCAGAAGCATTGCGAGCCTGCAGCTCTTTCTGATTCCATTTAGATATGTAGGTGGTCAGTAGCTCTGACAGTCAGGCCTCAGTTGCCTTGAATAAACAGATGGTGTTTCTTGTAGATTGATAGAGAGCCCAAGTCAGTGAAAGCCAGCCCTTTTGGCAGGCATGCCACAATCTAAGTACTGAGTGCCAATCCGATCCCCTTCCCCTGCCTAGTCTGCTGTTCTGCTTTCGTGTTGCCCTGTGCTTCCTGCTCAGTCAGTTACACTGCCTTCTGCTTTCTGTCCCATCTTTTGCTGTTTTTCCCTCACACAGAGAATGCCCGTGCTACTTGTGGCATGCATGCCACAGACTGGACACCCCTGCCCTATGTGGCTTAGAGTTTATTTCTACCCCCATACAACAGTTGCTCATAGCCAGTGATTTAGGGGATATGGCAGGAGTGTGGCAGGGGAGATGATTTAACATACTGCTGTGCTCTGACAATCCTCATTTGGAATAATTGCCCCAAAGCAATTGTTACCAATTGGCATAAATTAGAGGGGCTCTGAGGCTGCTCTGACTCCTGCTGAGAGCTAAAGTGGCCCTGCTGGCCTCTGGAATTGGAGAAACCATAATTTTTATGTAAAGCCTCCTCCTCAAGTACTGGAGCAACTGCACTTCTGTGGAGGACCAGAGCTATGTCTGAGATTGTCAAAGCTACCAAAGCAAGCCGCTTGCCCATCCCCTGTTAAGATCAACGGGAGTGGGGAAAGCTGAGCTTTTACACGACTTTGAAAATTCCAGTGTAGGTGTTGAGTTGAGCACCCAAAATTAGTGGCTGCCTTTGAACACATGAGTTTCAGTATGTCTCACATTCTTCTCCGTGTGGCTGATTTAATGTTGGCAGTAATGTAAGAATAAGCAGACTAGATAACTGATTGTTAATCAGACAGTTAATTGTTACCTTTTCCCTATTTACTTTTTTTCAGATGGAACTCCAAGATGATGGTATCACCTTGGGTTTAGAGAACAGCCTCTCCAAAGACATAATTTCCATCATAAGCAACGTGTTTCAGGCACCGTGGGGTGGCTCGCACACGTGTCAGAAAGATGAAAAAGCAGTTGAATGTAATCTGTGCCAGTCTAGCATTCTTTGTTATCAGCTAGCCTGTGAGCTGCTAGAGCGGCTAGCTCCAAAGGAAGAAATCAGGCTAGTGGTAAGTCGTAAAAGAAATGGGTTATATAATTAAATGGAAGACTTTAATAGTTCTTCAAAAGTCCTATGTTTAATTACACAAATTGCCCTCTACACAAGGCAGCAAGGCTGCTTTGAGCTTGTACATAGATCAGAATGATCAGTCTAGAATTAAATTTCCATTGATTTGTTAGGTCTTGTAAATTGGAATAGAGTCTTTTAAAGAATACCCTGGTAGAGGCAATACCAATTTAATAGGTGGCATTTTCCTTTTGTTTTCCATGTGTCCTAGTCTGGTTCTGGGAAGGCGCTGTGGGTGGAGGTGTTATCTGTCATACAAAGTGTAAAATGATAATACTTTGAGCTTTGCATCTCTGGGTTTGTTTATATAACAAATTGAAATCAAGGGCCCAAATTTTCAAGTGATTAGGTATTTTGGGTGCTTCAGTTCTCAAGTGCAAACTTGACATACCTGAAAATAATTGGTGGAAAACACTGAGTGCCTTTCCTACTCCTGTTCTGAAATTCAGGCCTGTGGCATTGTTGTAACTTTGAAAAGGCTGACCAGAGTCACAGACCACTTACGGCTATTAAGGATCCCTTGTTACTTTTCATGAGAGCTGGAATGTCACCTTGGTGTCCTGAACATATTTGATATTGAATTACTCTATTCTGCTTGTACTTGTTCCTTTTGACATTTTTCTTTATGTTTTATCCTAAACTCTTATTTGCAGTAGTTCTGCAGTGTGTTAAGTACTTGGAGCATTTTAGCGGTGGGCAA